AGTACTGTTGTCCTTGTAGTGTAGCATGGCTGCTGTGCAAGAATACTCAAGAGTTCAAACAACTACAGTTTACAGAAAAGGGACTGATTTGGCCTGGTGCAAGGTAGATTGACGTCTCCATACTCACTGGTAGGTTAGGTAAAGGGTAGCAGGCATCAATTTGAATTTAAGATGATGCTCTTAAGTATCATTTGCCAAATTCCACTTTTATTGCTCCAGGCTGGAGAGTAACTTTGATGGTATGATACCCCTTGTAGCATTTGTTAATAGACTGCAGATTAAGTAAATCCACACAAGCCTTAAACCTCAGAGCCAACAAAGAATACGCAATCATTTATTTTAAGGTGAGTTATTTTTCTTCCACCACTAGGGTTCCCCCACCTCCTAGATCCCCTCTAACCCTTGATTAACACTAGCATAACCATGCAAATGTACTTTACGATACGACAAAAGAACCTCAAACCACAAGCTTCGTCATCAATGACTGTGTGCTGGGATTCTTCCTTTAGCTGCCTAATCAGAAACTGCTGTTGAACAGTCAGTACAAAGTTAATCTAAAAGGTTTGTACTTCATGACTTCTCCTCACAGACGACGGTGAAACCAAACTATGACCTTATCACTTTGCCAGGAATCTTTTTTTCCCCTCATAAAGACTAAATGAGGAAATGTGCACTGCACATCTGCATGATTATGGTCAACAGCTCTTCTTCATATGCATCTCAGTGGTTCATTATGGTTAAGGAACAGTCCTCACACTCTGGCCTTGATCTCTCTCGCTTCTCCATCTGCCACTCATAGCCTTTGTTATGCAGATGTTGTCTCTTCAGTTCTAATTATCACAATGTTTATTTACTATTGACAACTTCTTCAGGCAATGTTCTGTTATTCCCTTTGACATTTTGGGACAAATAAATTCAAATTTTCATTGTTACTATGCACAGATTTATTATACTCTAAGAGAATAAAAGCAGAACTAAATAAATTTCTTTTAATCCTGTAAATATTTAAGTTGTGTATATATTAAATTCAATGAATCCACAATTCTGTTTTCACTTTCACTTTGAGAATGGTGTGAATGCATTTTACTGATGAAAAGGCATAAAGATTACAAATGGGCCATAATACAGTTGGATAGTTAAGTTTGCTTTTTGACAACATTTCCCTCATTGCTTGACCCATAAAAGTACTTTCTTAATAAGGCTTACATGGTTTGTTTGCCTCGGGTCTTATCATATTGGCTATTCTGCATTCATCTCACCTCTTTTACCTCTTTATCAGACCTGCCGGGTTTGATAAAGCGAGTGACTTCTCAGCTGTCCTGAATAATGACAGAATTGCATTTGTTGCCTTTCTTCATCTTTGTCTGATTCTGCTGGTATCAAACTTCTTGCTGACAACTTTGTCGTGTATTTAAATAACAAAATATCTTGTTTGTTAAAGTAGTGAAACAAAAAATGGGCTCTCGACCAGTTTACTTGGTATGGGCTGCTCAGCCTAACCACAAAGTTCTTGTCTCGTTTTATCCCAGGGACTTCGTCTGACTAAATATCTGGATTTGAACTACAAACTCAAAAATGCTGAAAACTAAGTGAATTTTCCCCAAGAAGGGAGAGTAATCATATTAGCAATTGCATTATAGGAAATATAGGATCCAATTTTGAATCTGTTTTTGTAAAATGGTCTCTTGTGAGCTTCACTTATTGTCTTAATGTGTTTAGATTTTTATTTCATTAGGTTGGTTCTTGTAGATGAGAAAAGGTCCAAATGCGTGACTATATTCTCTTTATGATTAGGATTATAAGATTTAAAGCCAGATAGTTAAAGAAAAAGTTAAACTGCTGTTAACTGATAAAAACTTATACTTATAAATATGAACCATTCAGTAATAACGTCTCTCATGGACCAGCTTTTGCTAAATCTGCCTCAGATGGAGTTTCCAATCTCTTCAATTTCCCCATATTCTTTTTAATGTCCTCCAGATAACAGATGTGAACTTCATTTTTTTCCAAACTTAATTCAACTGAATTGGAAAAAAATTAAATATAGCATAAACACTGGCCAATTTTTAAGTAAATACTGCACTTAACCCTTGTATGGTGTTCGGGTCTGTGAGACCCGTGTTCAGTTTTTTTCAAAAGAAAAATTAAACAATTAATTATTTTTTCACGTGTAAATGTGTTGTGTCTTTCCACTCACTCCACTTGATTATAACTGATTTATTTATAACATTTTATATAAAAGAAAAACGAGAAGCACATTAATTCATAAATGTGATCTAACAAAGGTAAAGGGAAAAAATTAACCATGTTTGCTGTTCATATGTCTTGTAATTGGGATGAAGTAAACATCTGTTGAGTAATTTAACATAAAATTGTTTGATAGTGTTAATTTGGAAAGCCAAAACTCTAGCCGGTCCACCAGACCCATGAACACTGGCTGAGTAACAAAAATACGAACACCACACAAGGGTTAAATATAGTCACTTCTATTTTCATGTTAAATTTTTCTTTCACTTAAAACAGGCCCGTTCTTGACCTCCATTCCTTTGTACACTGTAAGCATAATTAAGACTCCACGGCTCACCACACAGGCACCTGCACCCATACGCTGCACGCATCAGCACACTCACACCTGCATGTTTGCTGTGATCTACCTCACACTAATAAAAAGACTTTCCTGCTTTTGAACCAGAGCTCTGCTTTCCCAAGCTGAAGGTATGCAGCTTTGCTGCTTAGGCCTGTGTGTTTGTTTTAGTTTTAAGAGTCTTCACTGATGCTGTCACCGAATTATGCAAGCAGACTGCCCATAGCATCCCAACCCTATGGGCAATCTGAGACTAACAGGTTGATTTGATAAGATGGATTAAAGCTGCATAGCTAAGCCTCTATAAAAGCTAAGCATTTCCTCCCACTGGGAAAACTGATTTCTTCGTTTAAACGTTTTAGGAAATGATCCCTGCAGACCACGAGACTGATCATTCCTGGTTTTACGGTTTTAAAAAACATGAAATATCTTGTTGCACTCATAAAAAAGGCTAACTCATTATGAACCTTAATCCTGTCTCTCTATAAAGGCAGCATCGTTCATAAGAAGCTGTTTTTAAGTCCATTATCAGTTTTTTTTTTTCCATTTAAATAATTCAGATAGTTTGTGCTTAAATTTGGTAGAATAAACAATGTTGCACTAATTAATTACAACTGATCATCACACATCCTTAGCATCCAACGGTTTATCCACCAACTCACTGTTAAACTATTGAAGGACTCATACAAGAATAAAGAAGCTGTTGGTCTTCCAAATTGCACAGACAGCAGGAACTGCAAAATTGAAAAAAGGCTTTTTAGTCTCTCAATTACTCGTGTTCCTCAGTCTTGAGGATTGTTGTGCTATTGCATCATGGAACCTCAAGAGAAATGAGAAAGGAGCAGGTCTATGCAGGGAAATTAGCTCAGCCGTTCACTCCTGATATCAACGTGGAAAGTGGGTGGTGTGAATTATGGTATTACAGCAGCTGTGAGAAATGTTAGAAGTAATCACTGTGGAGTGAGTGGGGGTTTCAGCAGGCTGACTGTTGCTCCTTGGGGCCTAATCCATGCCAGAAGGAGGATGAAGTGGGATGCAGAGGGAGTTTAATTTGATGGGATAAAGCTGATGGAGATGCTCAGATTTTCAGTGTTATCCCTGTTTTTATGAAAAGCTTTTGTCTCTAAAGAATCAAATTTCAGAGGACCAAGAAACCACATTTTCACACTGGCCACCCTGTATTTTGGAGTTTATTCAATGTGGTTTTGAAACTGTTTACCAAAGTTGAGACTGATAGACTTTCACAGCCTGGCGAGGTACACAAAATCTTTCAGCTAAAGTTACAATAGGAAGAACTTCACGATAAAAGGGCAGCTCAGAGTATCAGCCATCGTAATTTCAAAACTCATCTTTGTTTTGATTTTCTAAACACCCTAGCACGTGTAAGTGATGTAGCTATATAAGGAGGTGCCACCTGAATCAGGCCCCAAAATATGCAAAGTAACAAGTACTGCGTCCAGTTATACTGTAGGAAAGCCACACACTTCCACCTTGATCCTCTCATTATTTGAACAGTAGTAAAACAGTTATAAAAGGAGCAACAAAGAAGTGATTAAGCAAAATTCACTGTGGCTCTTTCCAGAGAACAATCTTGACCACAGCACACTGTGTATGGAGGATGGGTGGGGTGGGTGGGGGGGGTTCAAAGATATTGTGAAATAGTTCCAGTATGTGAGAGTATTACATATTCACCCCCTGTGAGTCAGCCCCTCGCCTCTGACCACAAATATTACAGTGCATCTGTGCACTGAAACAATGGTGTTCCCCTTCACTTCGCATCACTTATTTCCCCCTGTGCCTGGACAGGGCGAAATAAGAACCTTGAACAAGCAAAGCAGTGTGTGTGAGAGACTGAAGATAGAAAAAAAGAGCGATGGAGAGACATGGCAGTGACAAAAATCTGTTCCTGCAGAAGGAGAGGTCCAGGAGCCGGGATGCTGTGCCCAAGGAAAAGTTGAGTAAGCTCAGTAAGTTATCATCGATTTCATGTTTTACAAGTTAGATTTGGCCAAACTCAAAGTGTAAAACCAGCAAATTGGTGGGATTAAGCTTTACAAGCCCAGATGGAGATTGGGTTTGGAGTGTTCTTCTCTAAACAGTGAATCAGATGAAACTTTAACACCAAAAGCCAAATTTCTCATTTGATTTAAAGTCATCTAATTTACCCACTCAGCATAAGTTAAAAAAAAAAAATCTTGAATCAACTGTTACATCTTATCTACTAAAGGCGCATTAAAGAAATATCTCGGCATATTTCAGGTTTACCAGCAGTCTGTAATTTATCCCATTCGTTCTATTTTAAGTAGAATCTAATCAGTTTGACACACTTTTACTTTCGTAATTAATGCAAGTATTGTGTTTCAAACTGCTACTTCCATGAAAGTGTGAGGCACCAGACCCACAGGGATGTACTCACCCGTGACCCAGGCTTCTGTGCCGACACTTGAGGCAGGTAACAGAGGAACAGAGGCGCCATAAAGTAGGAGACGGTAAAAATGAGGAAACTTGATAATAACATAATTGAGCGTCGGTGAGCGCAGAGCGAAGAGCGGCAGGTAGTCTGAGCGCACAGCGTGTCCGTCTGTAATACTGATGATCGACAGGTCCAAACCGAAAAAAATATATATTAGTACGCCCCAAAAAGACTCCTTAACCCTAATTTCCGGTTAATAATTCTCCTGTGTCTACTCCTCCAATAACTATTCACATAGTGCCACGCGTATGATCGGGAATCAGGACTTGGCCGTCACCATTGTGATTGGTTTTATCCACTGCGGGAGGATCAGCTGTTCATCGCGGCTTCCACAGGTTGAGTCGCGCCTGTATCCATTGCACCTTCATTTAAAAGCAAAGGAGGGAGCAGTCGTTTCTAGCTGGCACTCGGAGGACCCAATAGCAGCGGCCGGCGGCGGGAAAGCCACGCCCACCTCACCCCAAGATTAACTGTTCGCGGAGGAGAAAGACCTGCTCCGGTCAGTTAGGAGATAGGACCAGGAGAGGCAGCAGCTGCAGGAACACTCAGTGTATTATCATGAGTCTTTGAGAGCAGAGACAATGGCCGAGCAATTGTGAGGTCAAATTTTAGGTTCTCATCCCCATTCTGAGACATATAATGCTCTATAATAGCCTAGTATCCTGCTGCCGTGACATTTAGCCTGCGTACTTGGGTTACAATGGAAAACATCTATTGAGTAAAGTCAATAGCTGTCACAAGCACTGCAGGGGGGCAGTCTGTGTTTGTAGATTTGTGTGTGTGTGTGTGTGTGTGTGTGTGTGTGTGTGTGTGTGTGTGTGTGTGTGTGTGTGTGTGTGTGTGTGTCGTTGTGGGTTTTAGTTGGCAGACGATTCGTTGTTAGAGCAAAAAAACAACTGTTTGTGTCACTTTATCCCCAATTACATGGTCATAATGTAACACATTTCATAGAATAAACGGGGGGTTTTTTCTGGTAGAGAACCTATTTGGTTTGGGGTTTTTTTTTTCAAAATAAACTGGCTGACCTTCTTAGAGCCGTTTGGCTAGCATTGGAATTTCTTCATCTTATATGATAATCTGCAAAAACCTCAGTAGTTAATGTATATTAACACCATATGTATTTGCAAATACAATGTCAAAACTGCAATTTACTAATTTACAGTAAGACTCAAATTCAGAAGAAAATATGGGGTTATCAGTATTTTGATAAATAACAAACAATAATCTATGAAAACAAAGAAGTAATCAATGTGTGTTAAACTGCAGTGCAAAAGAAAATAACTTCTTACTTCTTAAAAACTAAGTGCCTTTTGATCATTTTTATTTTCTGCTCTATAGAAAAGATTTACTACTACTACTTTCCAGACTGATATAATGCATCTAATATGTGATGCTGTATAGGTTTAACCTAGCTCTGCTTCAACCTTCTACCACAATCAGAAATGAATGTATTAATTCTAATATTGTATTAGTGGTTTGCTGTGCACCACAACATGAATGTGGGGACAACATTTCTGCATTGTTGCAACCCTTTTGTCACTTATACATACGTTTGGGTTTTTCACATTTAAGTATGAAGCACTTTAATATCGCAGTATTGTTGCTTTGACAACTATAAATATTCTCAGTACTTTTCCACCAACCTGAGCAGGAAAGCACACTTAGTGCATTCACAAAACATGCTTCCACACTGTAATCGGCCTGCAACCTCTCAATTTCTGGCTCTCACATCTTCCTCGCCTCCGTGCTGTCCATTTCTCCATCTTTTCCTTTCAGATAAATTGTGAGGCCCATTAAGAAGAGAGAAGCAGTGTTTAGTGCAGGTGTCCCGTCACCCTTTACTGGAACGGGTAACCCCACCCCCACCCCAAATCCCCTTCTCTCGCTCTTTGTCCCTATAGATATTTTTTAATTGTTGGTTTTGACAGTTCAGCGGCTTTTTGAGTGCCTCAGAGAAGAGCCTTGTAATTAGAGCTATTGAGCTTCTGGAATTGGCACAATTAGGGTCAGCATTAATTATTCCTCTGTGCTCTGGCCAGTTTCTGTAAAGCACTGTTTGCAGAAAAGATGCCAGAGGAGGGTCACTCCAAATAGGAGAGATAAAAATGGATGGGGCAGTTGTACAAAAGGGAGAAAAACCGAGGCCTAAGTGGTCTCAAGATAGTGAATTATCTGAATTCTTGCTTATCGGACCACCATAGAAACTCAGCAAAGCGTCCGTGTAGTATCATTATCAGAGCTGTGAGAGAAGGGATGCGCCTCATTCCAAGTTGTTTCCCACCCCAGAGACTTAACCCAACTACCCCTCCCGCTCTGTGCCAGCCGGTCCACTCATGTCCTTGTGTGAGTGGAGTAATGCTGTGGGAGGTGAGGATGAGGAGCAGAGAGGGTCAACGGGAGTGTCTCTTGGAATGTTAACGAGATCAGTTTATATCTGCTCTTCCCTCTCACTTCAACCTGCCACCCTGAACAATGAAGACAAAGTTTTCAGGGCTGCAAAGCTGTTGTAGTGAAAGCATGGCTTGACACTTTAATTCTGTTGTCATTTGGCCGAACATAAAAGAAAACCTCTGACAACAAAAACAAAAGGAGGAATGAATGGGCATGCTGAAAGAAAATGTACATCCCAATTACTGCAGTGGCCCTTCCAAAGATGCCCCAGCCGCCGGTCCCCCCACCGGCTTACACCAACTACATACGGCCGAAAATTAGCGGGTGTGTGCAGACACAGAAACAGACAGAGCAGCACTGAGGCCACCCAGAGATCTGACGGCCTCGGGAGAGGAGCAGGTTTAGCACAGATGTGCCGCAATGATGTCACGTTGCCTAAAAGTACAGTTTAGGTGCACATGCAGTTCAGATGTAGTATGATAAATGCTGAGAGGAAAACAAGTTGAAGAGAGGCAAAAACTGCTACTTGTCGTTCATTTTTCCCGTTTAATGCTAAATAACTACATTTTTGTCTAAATAAAATCAGCATTTGCATTTGTCGTGTGTTTCAGTAGATTCTCATTGTTCTTCTAATAACGAAATCCATGAAAACCTATTTGTGACTTTTATTCCAGTGTTTAAAAAGTTCCTCCCTTTGTTTATTGTAGCGATATTTCACCCTCACCTGTACAACAATAAAAAGCTGATTATTAGTTGATTTACCAGTAATTTAGGATAATCCGAAAAGGCCTACTGTAATTATCGACCAGTCACCCAACAATACAGCAACCATATACCATATATCTGTCTCTGGGTTTAGGATTTTTTTCATCCCTGAGGTTCTTCAAGTGCTGAACTTATTCAAATTATTAAAGTATTTGCAACTCCCATGTTGCTTCACTACTTGTTTGGCATTCATTTTTAATATCTCCTACGTTCCTCTGTGAGGACATGGGGTCTCAGAAGGTTTACTTCACTTCCCACACACCTCCATACCAATACAGTTTTTGTTTTTTTTTACATTGGAGAATATTATTTGACTTTGTTTATTATTTGTACTATTAAAGCAATTGCTTTAATAGTACCTCCACTGCAATCAGCTTTAGAAAAGCTTTGCTTGTATTTCACTGTATCAGTAAAAATAAACCAGTTATTTCAGATTTATTAAAATGTTAAAAAAAAAGGAGGCATACTTCAAGATTAGTATTCTGTGCTTGCAGTTGTAGTTCTATTACTTGTATTTCTGCTACTTTTACCCACATGTAGTGTCTGAATACTTTTTCAGGCAGTGCATCTGTTTGATGAGTGTGTGATTGCACTTCAAAAGGCAGAATACAGTTGAAGCACTGAATGAAAGACAGAGAGGAGCGGGCGGCTTGTGTGCTGAAGGGGAAAATCGAAGGTCAGATACAAAGCCTTCTCTTTTTAAAGTGTCATCTGGATTTCATTTCATAAATTCCATATATTTTACATGTACTGGCCGCAATTTTCACTAGCTCCTGAAAACGAGGAGTGTATAGCCCTTGGCTGGCCAGCATTTCTTATTACCCTCTTCAAGTACACACTTGCACACAAACATACACACACTGACAGTGATGTAGAAGCATGTCTGGTGATGGAAAAGCATAGCAACAAATAAATAAGCCCACAAAGCCAAATTATCTATGACATTAATCAGAGATGTGAGGGATTTTTACGCAGTGAGAGAGTGAAAGAGAAAGTGGCAACAGAAAGCCACGGGTGTGAAAAGGCCTATTGAGTCTGGAATGGGGTGTCCCGCACCTGCGCTGTCTATTCACCCCACTGTTTACACACTGTCATCCACAATTAATACCTCCTGGGGACTGGGCTGCTTGCCCTCTGCAGGGCCCCCGGACCCATCCAGGCCCTTATGGATGCCTAATTGAGCATACCGCTCTCCTGATTGAATTAACAGCTATGTCTCTGGGACCTTTTCCCCTTCCACTAAGGAGGGGGACTGTTCCACACCCGCATGAGACCCCTGTACCATCCCACAGAATAGACAACAGGGAGAGAGGGGGTTGGTGGCTGAATATAGCAAAGGGCTAGAAGCGGGAGTTGAAGCGGTCTAGAAAATGTGGCCCTTTCTGTTGGCAAACCAAGGCTGGAAATGTGAACTGGGGGCAATGAAAGGTCTCAATATTCGCAGGGCCAGTGAGTTCCAGCAGGCATGTAGAACTGTACACGCACGCACACATATTTGAGTGCTTGCGCAGCACTAAGTTTCCCAAAATCCAAGTAATCAATCTTGCATTTTATTTTGCTGTTATGATATTTCTTGTTCCTTGTATTTTCTTTGTTTGTCTGTCAGTGAGACACAAAAATTTACAAGAGCAAGTTTCATGCAAGTTAGTGGAGAGGTAAAGCCCTCCAAAGGAAAATTGGAATTTAAATGCTGGTGCAAATGCTGCTCAGTCAGACAGGGTGCTGTGGTATTGTGTGGCCTTGGTTGATGTTGAGCAGAGACGAGAAGGCAGAGGAATACTGAAAAAAAGCTATGCGATTGATGTATATGGTTTTGTTACTGATCTATTATTGCATAAGCAGCAACCTAATCTACTCTTTGATTGTGTTATTTAATAATGATCCTTTATAATCGTCTACTCAAAATTAACATAGTTCTCAAAATGAACATCAACACAGCAACCTGTAGTGTTTGATCACCGACTGCAACAGTCTGGTTGTAATCACTTTAAGAGGGATTTTTTATTTTTATCTTGTGCTTTTATTGATAGTGAAACAGCTCAGTCTGAACTGCTCTGCTGCAAAACTATGTGAAGTGATTTTTTTAAAGAAGAAGAAGAAAAGGAAAAAAATATGTATAAGTGTTAGAATAAGTATATATTTATTCAATGATGTGATTCTGGCTTCATCAAGCTATGATCTCCAGCTTGGACTGGAGCTCTTTGCATCTATCAGAATTAGCGATTCCAAATCTGAGACCCTGTCTCTCTATCTCTCAGTCAGAAAAAAGCAGTGCCCACTCTTGGTTGGGAATGAGCTCCTTCACGGCAGACTCTGAACACTCTGGAATGATTATGTCTCTTGGCTGGCTTGGGAACACCTTGGTGAACCCCAGAGCTAGAGAAGGTGGCAGGAGAGAGCGAGGTCAGGGCATCTCTGCTTAGACTGCTGACCCAGAAAAGTAGAGGTGGGTGGATGACCAGTATTGGCAGATGAATATATCAGTCATGCTCTAATATGAATCATTTCTAACTGGAAAACTATCTGGTGTTTTACAGGAAAACTGGAAAATAGGCAATCATGACAGAATAACCAGCATTCACTGTGCTTCATTATTGTGGTCGTCATTGTGACCCTTCCTGTTCATCTTCTGAAAACCTAATATGAGTTCCCATGCTGCTAGGTTGGAAACCACTACAGTAATCAGTGTAATAATATGTATCCTAAAAATTAAAAAATTATGTCCACATGTTACTTTGTTGGCATCAAGCAATAAAAAATGTTTAGTTTAGGATTTGAATTCTAAAATTCTCTAAAGCCTTTTAAATATTAGAGGAAGCTTATGCGTGAAGTAACAATTAAAAAATACGTTTTTTTTCTAACGAGTTTAAGAAAAATACTGCAAGTTTGTCAGATCTAATATGTTTCTTATTAATTATGTTTTCTGTTTTTGAATAGGAAACATATTAAAATATAAAATGCATCCAAGAAAGCTTAAGTTTGGTTCACTGCACTTGTCTAGACAGCTGTACACACTCACTCCTTGTGTTCAACCCTGAGCAAACACGGGTACAGTAAGCTCCTGGCTCGATGCACTACAATAGTAGTAAAATATAATAATGTGGAAAATCAGAAGCTCCCTGGAGAGATGGAAATGTACCGAGGCCTTTTTATTTCCAGGTCTGTAAAAGAGTTTGCCATGTCTCTATCCATACTTGTCAAAGTTCTGCACACATGTCCAGCTGAAAATCTGATCTGCCTTTGAAGGGAAATGAAATGGGTGAATTCATTTCAGCTGAGGCTGCTGACTGTCAGAGTCATGTAGCCAAAAGTGCGTAATCTCTCAGTTCCTCTTTCGCTATAATTTCCTGGCTGGATTTATCTATTGGCTCTGTGTAAAAATAGCCTTCCTTAAGTGGCTTGAACGGGACGTAGATCCTCATAACGGCACAGATACTGGCTCACCTGTGTTTTTATAACTGAGTTCCTAAATCGATCAGATGCTTTTGAGGATCTGTCTTTCAATAGATCCTCAAAAGCAGAAGAGCTGATACAGAATCACTTTCCCAATCAGGATATATTAAGGAAAATCTTAGAAATATTCAATATGTTGGTTGTTGCATAGTATTTATGGTATACCACATTAAAGATCTGGTGGTCTATAACTTTATTGGTTGCAAAATACTTAAAAATTTATCTAGAATAAGGATTTTGGCATCTCCAGGTCGGATCCTACATGATGTGGTGGAATGCTGGGTTGTCACCACTACATGGGCTGTGTGCTGGTCTCCATGACTGCACCAAGCAGCTCACCTCTCGATGAACCCCCCAGTTCAGCTTTGGTGGTTGGGAGCATGCCCTACCAAAAACAAAAACACAAACACAAAATTTCTGCAGAGCATAACCCTGCACCAGTGAACTGTGCAGCAAGCACACCATGCACCGCTCTCCTTTGGCTCCCCTCGCAGACCCCATGCCCCCAGTTAACAAGCCAGCCAGCACGTTCCTTGTTGTCACTTGTTACCCGCTGTCCTCCTGATACAGCTTGCGGGTGGGGCCAATTAAACTCGCACTGTTCCCTACAATGGGTCAGGAGTTTAGTGGGTCATCATCAGAGCTTTTTTCACCCAGAGTTATCTAATCCTGAAGCTCTGGACCAAACCAGACCAGTCTATATGCAGAAGAGGGCTTTCAATTAATCAACTGCATTTATTAGTGGGGTTGCATGTGGTGATCAAATCCATCAGACTCACAGAGAGAAATACTAATCTTTTTCAACTTCGACTATTTGTACTAGATCTGTGAGAACAATAGTTGTGTTACTACTGATGCCAGTTGTAGTACAGTAAGAAATAATGTTAATGTTATATCATCAGTATTAGTATAAAAATGACTTTCATAGGAAGTGAAAGTAGTAGTACAAAAGGTACAAGCAATAGCAAAATGTAACTGTAGTGGTAGTGTCAAGCAAGGGGGAGTTACCTGATGCATTAGTATCCTATTCAACTAAAAGCCTAAAAGAGTTCAGGCTGTGTTGAAGCCCGTGTGTTGACTTTCAAGCTCATTAGACTGGCACAAATTCTGCTTTTGCCTTATATGCAGTATTTTCAGCATTTTTGCACATGTTTCAATTAATCTTTGCACCCATTTCTCATTGTCCTAGAAAAACAAGAAGGCAATGAGGGGTGGCTCGAGAGCTGTATTTGTAAGAATTCCCCAACTCATTAATGTGAGTGTGAATGGGTGAATGTAAGTGAATGTGTATAAGTATCAGTCCTTTTATTTATGTAACAGAGTGTTAAAAGTCTATTTCTAAATGCTTAATTTAGGCCTGAATTAACTACATGTTGGGAATATTCTCAAGAAATGTTGTAAAACTTTTACTACACCTTATCACTGATATCATGGACACTTTAAGGTGTAAAATAGAAAAATGATTACATACATTTCAAGTACAGTAATGTTTATCCAACTGACATTAATGTCTGAGAGTAAACCTTTTCACATCAGACATGATGGCTTCTCTGATCAGAACATCAGTGATGGTTCTAAATAATTATCCTATGACACTGTGACACTGAACCAATTCAATCATACCTCTAGCTGGCACATTAGTTTCATGAGTCAGGTTTTATTTTCAGTTGTGCTTTTCCTATATGTCTTCTGTAAAAAGAAAAACAAAACATTCAGGCCTAAATTAACTGTGATCATGCTGTAAACTAGGGTGACTGTAATTTGATCCAGTGTGTCAGTTTTCAAGTGTAAATGGCCTAATGGGATGTTTATTCTATCATACTAAAATAAAATCCTCGATAACTCAGTATTACGACTGCTTGAGGTCAGATGACCTCCCTGAGACACCCTTAGCATAGATCTGCAGTGCTCTTTCGCCCTCTGGTGTCAATTTCGAGTAATTACATGCATTTTGATTTCACGCCCAGGAGTGGTGGCAGATGTCAGCTTTAAGAGAAAGTGCTGTGACTGGTGATGAGCCAGCCACAGATTAACAAAGACCAATTTTAACATTCCTCGCCGTTTTTATTCCATCAGTATTTTGGAAACATCTCCTACAAAATCACTTCTGGAAATGGAAAATAGACACGTTTTGGAAACTGGCTAATATTCATCTTCAATGGATAAACTGCGTGCGTGGTACAAAAGCAGGCCTGCAGGAGGATCTTTGCTCGGGGGTAACATTCAGCACCATTACGCCAGTTTAAGAGCTTGTAAGTGGAGTGGACAGGCGCTCGGATAATTGCAGAGCGCACTCAGTATTTTTAGCATATTTGCCACAAGCGGGCGGAGCCAAGGAGGGTGAGATAGAGGGATGCTGAAAAGCAGGTGGCGACCGCTGATGTTTACAGGATGAACTTTAGGGAGGGAGGATGAGGAAGGGAGGAAGCTGGATAGGAGAGTCGTCGTAGTGAGCAGATTTCACCGCGAAGACGGTTTTTATCGGTGTTTGTGATCGCGGAGAGTGCACATTTTCAGCGCCGGCGCTCAGAGGCTGACCGGCTGGGAAAGGCTCCGTCTGTGTCTGTCGTGTCGCCGGAGATTGCAACGATGTGATGCACCCATCTTCGGGACGACGGCCGAAGCCTTTTGCCTGAAACCTGATATTATGCAGGAGACGAGGCTTTCTGGACGGATTAAAGGGGAACAAAGCACCGGTTTAGAAAACGTTTTGCGACCTGGCAGGTCAGTGCATGCTTGCGCGACGCAATACCGCATTAAATTACAGCCAAATCCACCGGATTTAAGCAGCTGTAATGACTGTTGTTGTGCACCAAAGCAATCAGCAATATCTCTTTTGTCATTTTTGGAGTTTTAACCTTGAACCTGAGCTGTTGGTGTTGACAGTGCGGAGAGGGTTTTATGCCAGCATCCTGCTGATATGCAGGAGAAAGGTCTAGGCCTTCACTGTTTGTTACCAGGTGTGATGAGTCCATGTTAGTGAGCATAATAGTGTCCAGTGGTTGTTTACTACTTTCACACTCCATGATATCCCATTCTTTTTCCAAGTAAGCTTTTAGGATCAGGTGCTTAATAATTCATACCCCAGACGTCTGTGCGTTAAGCATTTGTAGGTTGATTGTGTGATGTAGAGTGAAAAAATATTGCTATGAGTAATCAGATTCTCTCAGCCCAGTAACTCTGCCGAAAATAGATCCCCCCGTTAAAGGACTGTGGTGTTTTTCTGTGTTGTGTCTCTTCCCTGAAGGGGGAAAATGTCTCATCTGGTGTAAAATCAGTGAGTGCACGAATATGTGTTCATGCGTGCATGCATGCATCTCTGGACCTGTGTAATGACCCTCCCCCCACAGACTGCATCTCTTAAGCTCTTGTCTCAGTGCTATGATCCTCTAATTGAAACCTCTCCCCACTTTTTCATCTATTTTCTCTCCTGTTTTATTCTCCCCTGCTCACCCTGCCCTCTCTTTACCCGCAGCCAACTATGGTTGACCCCTCGGAGGCTGAGGAGCAGAATAAGTGTAAAGGCCCGCAATTCGACACACCAGCTGTGGCTACCGAAGACTCTCGACTGCCAGAAAACACAGATAGCACGACAACAGAGGAAGATGGGGATGCTGGTTTTGAGACGCCACCAACCGGCAGTTCAGAGCCAAGCCCCTGCCACACTGCATCTCCAGTGGCTCCAGAGGTCACCTCTCAGGACTCAGCACCTCAGCAACCACAGACTCAGACTGACAGCGGTGTGTCTCCAAAGCTGCACCTGGATCTGTACAACTTTGACTCGCCGGCCGCAGAGGGCAGCCGATACGTTTTAACGAGCCCCCGCTCTCTGGAGGCGTGTGCTCGATGCGGGGTCAAGCCTGTGGAGCTGCTGCCTCGCCCGCTCTCTGACTTTGCCCGTGAGGCTCCTGGCCGCTCAATGCGTGTCGCCACAGGCTTGTTTGAAGTCTTTGAGAGGGACAGGCATGCCAAACTTAGGCAGTGCAGGGAAGAGAGGGAAAGGATTGTTAGGGAGGAAAAACGAAGGCTTCTTCAGGCAACGGTCAATAGCAGCAATGCATCTTCTGTGGATAAAATGTCCTCTGGCCTCACCCAGTCTTCTAAGTCTGGGCCAGTGACCTCCAGCTCCACCCTCAACGCTGGAACATCTTCTAGAGCCACAGCATCAGGTCAAGCCTCCAAAACAGGTGCAGCTCTTTTATCCAAAGTACCTGCCTCCATTCTTAGTACCTCCCCTAAATCTTTTCATGCGGGACCAACCACATCCTCAAAATCTGGCTCTACACCCTCTACACCAGTTTCCAAGAGTGGATTTCTAGGATCTGGAAAACATCCTCTGTCCTCATCCCCTGAATTAGTAAAGCCCACACGACCACTTTCATCTGGCCCCCCACCAGTAGTTCGGAAGTCCTCTGGTGGTAAATCTTCAAACACTTTTCCTAGACCAACACCGAAACCCCCTTCCTTCCCCAGAGCCAACTCCACTTTGACTTCATCAGCGTCAAAACCTGCAGTTCAGAGCTCTGGGATACCTCTGAACGGTGTAACAGGAGGACCATTTACACAGCACAATGGACATCTTGGATTTCATTCCAAGGTACGAGGAAAAAGCCATTCACTGGAATCTTTACAGCGAAGGATGGATCCCGTCTGCTCTTCAACCTCCACTACTACGACTACGACTACATGCACCTCGTCAGAGTCGGGCGCTTCTTCTTCTTACAGTTGGGATGGTGCACGAGAACACTGGGCTAGAGTCTCCAGTCCTCGAGCTCGCACTCTGGCCACTTTCAACTCCCTAATGGGCCGCAGCCTCAGCCTCGGCGATCTGAGCCACTCTCCTCAGACGACACAGAAGGTGGAGCGCATAGTAAAGGAGGTGAAGCGCAGAGGGCTGAAAGCTGTGTCTGAGAGAGACCGCAAGATAGCAGCTTTGATGCTTGCCCGATATCAAGAGGAAGACATCATGAGCCAGAGCCGCTATGTGGCTCACCTTCAGTGGGATAGTGAGCGCAGGATGGAGGAGCTGCGTCGCGAGCAGGAGGAGCGAGAGAAACAGCGTGCCGTGCTTCAGTGTCAGAGAGTGTGGCAGACACAGGTGTCGCTGCGTCAGCGAAGACTCAGCCAGCAAGAGCGACAATCAGCAGCAGCCAAAATGCGACAGGTCGAGGAGAGCGAGGAGCGATGGAGGGAGCTTGCAGAACAGCAGGAGCGTAACCGCCTGCTAAGGTTACAGCAGGCAGCGCGAGAGGAAAAGCACAAGAAGGCTCTTCAGGAGCAGAACCTGAAGAGCCTGGAGGAAGAGAGGGCTGCCATGCTGGAGCAAGAGAGGCTGCTGCTGAATGAGAAGCTCACCATGGCTGAGCTGAAGAGGCAAGAGAAAGAGCACCAATCCCAGGAGGAGAGGCGAGGTCTGAACAAAGCAGAGAAGAGACGTCACATCGCCCTGATACAGGAAATCGCCCGTAGAGAGAAAGAGGAGAGGGATGAGGCCAGGAGGTCAGCAGAGGACAAGCTCAGCCGTTCCCTTGAAAACTACGAACAGATAGTTGAACGTCGAGGGAAGGAGCTGAAAGAGAAGGCCAAGCGCGAGGAGAAGCAGATCCAGAAAGCACGCAAGGCAGCAGAGAAGCGCGAGAGGCAACAGCAGCAGCTGCTGGAGGCTCGGGTAAAGGAAGCAGAGAAACGAGCCCAGCAGGCAGCTTTGGTGGCTGAGGAGAGGGCCAAAGAGAAAGCGCAGCGGGCAGTCCAGAGCCGACAGGAGAAGGAGAAACTCCAGAAGCTCAACAGGCAGCGCGTGGAGGAGGAGGAGAAGCAGAGGCGTCTGGAGCTGCTGCAGTCCATCGAGAGGAAGCTGGAGAAGAGTGAGCAGATCTTCAAGGAGAAGAAGGCAGTGTTAGAGAGCGCCCGATCTGTGGCTAGAGCCTCTTTTCACGTGCGAGACAAAGTGCGGGAGGAGACCAACATGCGTACCTTTGATAAAATGGCCTTGGAAGCTCAGCTCAAAGCCAGTCTCGATGAGAAATAATCATAGCTTTGTTGTGGACTCCTTACTTCTGGTCATGTGCTTGGGTCCTGCCTTCATTATGGCCTCAGTCACTCAACAGCTTTACCTTTGTACCCATAAGCACCTGCAATGTTATTTTTTCCCTCACATATCTTTACCCATCAGCTGGTTTTACTACATTTTTCATAATTTTTATTATCAACACAAACAATATAATTTTGTATCGTGGATGTAATGAGACTACAAACTAACAGCAACGCCTGTGAAACACATGCAGTGGACTTCATGATAGACATGAGAGTTTTAGGACAGCAGCAAACCCCTTCTCTTTGCCTTCTGCTCCATCGATCTCAGCTACTGGACTGAAAGCTCCGCTGGAATGAAAAGAGTCATTGTTTACCAGGAAGCACAACTCCATGACAACTGCATAGGCTTTTAAGGGAGCACTCATGGAAGAGAAGAATAAGCATAAGAAAAGGCAGATCGCAGATGATCCTGGACCCTCAGAGCAAATGAGAGATCCTTTTGTACATGCACTGTGACACAGCATGAAAATAAAGCCCTGGGCTGAACACTTAACCGCTGACAATGCAGCAGTGGAGGGTCATGTGCACGATACCCGTGCTGATGAAAGCATCGGAGGACACTGACTTCCGCAGCAGGGCCCGTTTCACCGCCCTCTCAAGGTAACAAGAGGGAGGAGAAGCAGTGTGCAGTGCATCAGTGTCAGGACTCTCCTGGTCATGCCGATTACAGTAAAATAGTGATGCACTCTGAAAATGCCCTATCTGGCCACTGATCTGCTCCCACAGCCACCTGGTGACCACGTCAAGGTCAACAGGTACGAGTTTTTATTGCTTCTGCAGCTTATATAATACCTTCTGTTTTGTTGCAAAAAAAACAAAACAACACACTGACTCAACAGCACAGAGGGAAATAAAGACACACCGACTCGCATGCAAGCCAGGAGCAGGTTTTAAAGGCCTCTGGCTGCACTAATCCTACAATCTCAGATTAAAAAAAAGGAGGATGTGCATAGCCTTTCCCCTCAGATGTAGCTGTTGCCATAGTGACAGAAGTCAGGATGAAGCAGCAGGAGGTGAATTACTGAGAAGGGAGAGTGCGTGGGAATTTGAGGGGGTTGTCTGTGGGAAACTGGATCTTTTGGCAGCTCATTATTTGTGGGGTGTTACAGGAAAACTACTCAGTTCACTTTGTTATGTGTAAAATCTATGTGAGGCAGTGGGAAATTGCTGCAGCGTTCCCTCTCTTTACTTATTCAGAAGTCGACCTTCACCTGGAGAGTCAGCTGCTCTCCCTGCACGCAACTGCAGCCAGGAAGTAGACTGAACTGAGCAATTCGGGCAGTCACATGTTGGGTATCTAAAGCCAGAATAAATATGGCCAGCAGAGGACTAACGGGCTTATGGCTGACTGATCCGCAGTGTTCCAAGCATATAATCATAGGGAGGTGATGTAAGGTCGGAGGATGAGACAGCATATCTGTATGTGCCCATGATGCGATTCAGAAGGTAAAGTCGGCAATCTAAAGTATAGTTACTGTCAAACACAGAGGGTGCTGCAAATCTAGTAATTATTAACAACAGAAATAAATAACTCGCCCTGGAAATATAGGAACTTGGTTTACACATTTGCCTAACAAGCCAAAGATCCCCAGTTTGATCCCAAGAGGAGACATAAATCCCTTAGGGGTCGTGCCATGTGGTGCATCTGGTATAAAATAACATCTGCCAATTCAAACATGCAGCAGGCCCTGCTGTGATGACCTAGAAGGCTAGAAGTAGCTGTTAAAGAGGATATTCATGTTAAGGAGATGGTTCATCACAAAAGTTCAGTTTATTCCTGTAACACCATTTATCTGTCTGGATGGCGTTTATGTGCTATCATATTTTAAATGGTTTGCCCTTTTCTTGAATATAATGGAACCAGACGGCATTTGCCTTGTGCTGAAAGCACCATAAAAAGCCATTTGAATCAGTGTCTCTTTCCAGAATCACAATACAGTTATTCCGACATTTCCACAACCCTTGTTGTAACCAGTTTCAAGTAGGCACTATTTTATGTTTGCCGAACTACATTCACCAACCCTGTCATTACCCAAATTGTAGTTTGCCTCTAACAGCGAAGAGACGTTCACGCTAATGAGAGGTTCAAAGAATGCAAACATAGCTGACTCCCACCTCAGCTGATCAACTATATGCACACTTTTTTTAGTTAGTGCTGCAGAGCCAGTGCAGTTTTGAGTAGCTAATTGCTTTTTGTGTTGCTTTGAAGCAACACTTGAACATATATATATCAAATATATTTAATGTAACAAGTGAAGATACCATCTTTTTCTATAGACAATTAAATAATCAGTATCTGGTGTGCAAAAGATAAAAATACATGTTTTTTTTTTTAAGGTAACACAATGAACTGTCTGAAATGCACATGCATGTTACCAACCAGATTTACTTCGTGATACTGAAAACGCAAACAAAATGTCTTTTAAAAAGGTATTTATTACTTGGACTGTGTAGTACAATGCTTGCGTAGACATTCTTGTTTTAGTACAAGTAATGAGTCTTCCTAAATAAAGCAGGGAATAGTATTTCACCATCAATTATATTCAAATAAAGTGCAATAACAACAGAAAAGGACAAATAATCAACCAGTTGCTTGTTGCTGAAGATGGTTCTTTATGGCTGTGTCTTTGAACTCATGTAAGTCTGCAAAGTGAATGCAGTCTGAACTAAAATGCCCAAATCTTTCATTGTACTCTGGCTTTAGATTTCTTCCTTATATTTATTTTTAACACTAGCCTTCATTAAACTTCTGTTTTACTGAAGACCAAACTGCACTGCCGATACCCACATTCATCGCCGTCTTATTTTTTTGTGTTTCAGGTCCTGGTGATGAGCGTGAGCTGGTGATGTAACCCACAAGCCTCCCGACAAAACTGTTCCTCCCACACTGAGCTTTATCAAAGTGTAAAAAAAGCCTCTCCTGGTGGAAATACAGTCTTATCAGATCTAATTTTTTAGGTTTTTATTCAGTTTGTACCCGTTAACAGTGCCAACTATTGTTCTGCAGAGAAGAAGAATCTTCCGCCTTTTACCTGCATCAGTGAAACAACGTGTTCAAGGTTCAAACACAGCTTTATTAGCATCAAGTCGTGTTTAGTCCCGTATGTTTCCTTCTCATCTTCCCCTTACATGTGGGCTTTGTTTCTGTATCACTTCTGGTGTTGAGTTATTTAACATTTGTACATTATCATAAAATGCTTCCTTTGATGAATTACATTGAGTTGCATTATCAAGAAAGGATTTTTTCAGATGTAGCAATAATGAAATGGTCGTGGATGATATCGAACGCATCTGTCAGTTCATCGTTTCCGTCAGTCCCCTAAACTGAAGGTCTGTGCATACAATCAAAAGTGGAAAAATAAAAACAAACATTTTTCAAGTTGGATTTGCATTGTCTGTGCCATCTGCTTCATTTAGTAAAGAGCTTTTTTCAGGAATACAAAATGGTAAAAGTACTAGCAGTTACACAGATACATCTTTAACACAGATATTCATTGGTAGAAGAATCAGAAAAATGTACTTCAAATATTAACAGTAAGTGTAATTTATATTTTGCATCATTTTTCTTGTCTTTTTATTTTTAAAAAACCTTTTTAATACAGTAAGGTTTTTTAATTACAGGTGGTTCGAAAACTAGTGGTCAGGTCCCTGCAGGGGTTGGAAAAAATCAATCTGACAGGTCCTGAGAAAACTAATGGCGTGGAAAGTCTAAGAAACAAGTTCCTACGTTTTTTGTTTTTTTTTCTAATTCTGAGCTTTGAACTTTCTCGGTTTAAGACTCAGTTGAAATCAGGTTAGGTCATTGTCCTACCTTTTTTCCCCTCACATGTGCCATACAGACGAAGAACACGTGTGGATTAACAAGGATGCTACCTTACTATAGGGTGCAAGAAGCAGGACACAGGACAACAACACACTCCATGTGGATTCCCCTGAGTATCACCCACAGCTGCTCCCAGATTGGTGCAAACTGCCACGATCAGCGATGACCCAGACTTTGTACTAAGGAGCTGGCAGGGTAAAGACCTTTTAATGTATGTTGTTCATTAAATGTCTTTGTTCTCACATCCACCTCTTAGGGGAAGTGACTGAAGAAAGATTCAGAGCTATAGTGCATTTGTGAAAATTTACCTATTTGACCTACAACTAAAATTAAACAACAGGTTTTCTATAAGAGGCCACAAACCAAAGACAGGGAACCACTGATTGGCAGTAAATCGTTTTAAAAACTCTTGTGTTGTTAGTTTTCAAGCATGAAAAGTAACTAGTTAATATATTGGTTTAAGTTTAGCTTAAGGATACTCACATGTGGCTTTATCAGATCTGAAAGCTTCACGTGGTCATTTTCAGTCAAACGGTTCCAGAAACTGTTGACCATAAGGAACTAAAACTCAGCAGCTATTAGGATGTTTCCACTGCAAGAATTCAGAAAATATGGATATTCACACATTCTCTACGTACTGTTTAAAGAAACTAGTGACCATGAGTGACTATGACTCTTTTCTGACAGCACTATATAGTAAATAAACTGATACAATCAACACCTATTAAATAGAAATTTCAGACAATAATTAAATAGGGTTATTACTAATGCTTTCTTGAAGGTTATGCTAAAAATAAATAACAGTAAACCCAAAAAGGAGTAGGTAACGTGGCATTCCTAGTTTAGCTTATGTGATTAGTTCCTTCTGGTCAACAAAAGACATAATTTATGTTAATGAAAAAATTTAAAGTTCTACTCTAAAATAAATCCCCACAGCTCTAAACAGCAAAACTCAAGAGCTGCTTTGGAGTCTTGTTTTTCACCTAGGCGCTTTAGGCTCCACAGTCGCTCTTATTTGCCTAATCTTCACAGTTTTCCCTGCTGTAGGAATTTAGTTCCCAGTTTAACTCCACTAACATTCCTAGATCTGAGTCTAAAAGACAACAAACCCATCAGACCATGAGAGAACAGAAAAAGTGCTCTTATATTTAATCTTTTAAATTTTGACTGATCAACTAAAACTTTGTCATGGTTTCAAATAACACAGCTTTCTGTGCACATTCATTTACAGCGTCTTAATGATGGGTTTGGTAACAGCATCTCTGGGTGACTCTGAGACTGAGGTGAAGCTAAGGACCGTTTCTCTTCTTTTACCTCGCTCTATCTCCTCTCAGACGTCTGTTATGTTTGTGGCGTCCTTGCGAGTCATGATCTTGTACACGCTCTCTCTGAAGCTGCTGTCCGAGGTCAGGCGTCGGGCCGTCTCCCTCAGCTCCTCGATGCTGCTGCCGTCAGCGTTGGCTACAGCGAACGACTTGGAGTGTTTCACTGTAGCGAGACAATGAAATGTGGAGCTCAGTCAATGGAGTGCTCCATTTGGGACAACGACATTTCAGAAATGTATTGCT